TTTCGTCGGAACGAATTTACGGAAAATTAAGTAACGACTGAAGGCGTAACAGTATTGTTAGTGTTGATCACATTTTGTAAAACCAAAACAAATATAAATTACTAAACTGATACCACAAAAAACCATTGTAATTTATCAGATTTTCTAACTATTCTGTATTTGGGTCTAAAAAATCTAATTTCTGTTAGGAAAATAACATTGATCATAATACTTCAAACTCTCCAAAGATATAAGAGCTTTTCTCTCGTAAGTAACTTCGGAAGACTAACAGGATTACATAGAGGAAAGGTAGATCTTTTGATTGGTTATTAACTTATAGGTATAGAAAAGTAAGCATAGACAAACAAGTCTTCTCAAATGATGAATTGGTGGGCGGAGCCAATGTGGTGGATTCACAAATATTATGATATCTCAGCAAACAGAAACTGTAGGAGGCTCTTATTTTATATTATAGCTTGCCAATATCGGAAATTTGAATCTATAATTCTTATGAAACTATAGACCTTGTATTGTGGGCGTCATAAAATGTAATCTGACCAAATCCAGGAGATGACATACCACGTGACACACAAAAATCGATATTAAGCTATTTTTTATATTTTCTTTCTAATTAAGAAATTAACTAATGTATAGTACTAACATTTGAATTATAATCTGTAGTTTGATACCAGACTTACTGACATACATTCATGAAATAGTAGTTCAATATAATTGTGAATGTAAAACTACAAACGTGATGACATGTCCTCTGACCCCTACCCGTAGTCAAACCTGTCTCGATACAGTTAGGACAGCCTGCGTGATGTAACTCGAGAGGTTTTCTAGAATAATTTTTGCAGGAGCCCCCTAATGACACAGTAGTGTGTCTGCAGGCTTACAACGCTAGAAACCGGGTTTCGATACCCGTGGTGGGCAGAGCACAGATAGCCTATTGTGAAGCTTTGTGCTTAACTTCAAACAAACAAACATTAATAGTATATATATATATAACAATGTGTGATGAAGATATATGTATATGGCTATATATATATATGTATAAATAAACATGTGAATGCGGTCTTACATACATGTTTGAATGTTACAAGAAATCATTCATGAATGTGTTATAACATGCATGAATCAATTACACAAAGAACACAACTATTAAGCAACATATCGATGGAAACAAAGGATTTGATACGGATGTTAAGACGTTGTGGTATGGGGATAACTGGCTTGTAAGGTATTATTTGAAGGTACAGTGGACATGTTGTTTTCATTAATGTTAGTGAGATAAGGTTTCAATTTTGACATTGAAATGTTTGACAGGAAGTGAAATTTTTATGGACGGATAAGAGTAATAGAGGTATTCACACTATAACTGAGAGAAAAACAAAGAAACACAGCTTTACCTGTTATTTTTCAGTGAGAGTAGTGCAAAATATTTCATGAGTAGGTGAAATTATCAGTACTTAAGGAAATTCATAGACAATAGCCTTAGATATCATATGAATATAAACTTGGTATACCCAGTGTTTTATTTTGTTATAGCGTAATATTTTCAATCAAGCATACTGAACATTTGTAAGAAAACAGTTTTCTAGATGTTGTTACGTATCTGCTTATTTGTTAAATTTCCCGTAGAAAATTCTTTCCGAGAAAACTTCGCCCCCCAGTGGCACAGCGGTATGTCTGCGGACTTGCAACGCCAGAATCCGGGTTTCGATACCCGTGGTGGGCAAAGCACAGATAACCCATTGTGTAGCTTTGTGCTTAATTTACAAACAAACAAACCGAGAAACTTTAGCGATACAAGTCCTTTCTTGATTAAAACTAGTTTATTCTTTCTCGATACAAACT